CTATTGTAGCGCTAAGATAGATTTATTTAAATGAGCATGTTTTATAACTTTTTCTATTAAAAATAGTTAAGTAGTTTCTTTGATAATTACACAACGAGAAACAGACCGTATGATGGTTATATGGAAATCCTGAGCAAAGATTGTCATCTGAATTTGTTACGCTCTACTAAACTGCGTTGCGCAACAAGTTCCTTCAAAGCCTTGATCACTCTTCCCTTAGATACACGTATACATACAAACATCCATTCCCAAATTAAATTTAAAACTCATCCGCTCGAGTCTATATCCAGCACATTGAACACCCATTGATAGTGTTAGAAAAAAATAGATGATAAGCAGACTACGGATTTTATGTATTTATAAAAAAACAGAATGTGCATGTAATGTACGAAGGTATACAGAATATCAACAGCTGAATGCATATTTTAATGTTTTATTGATAAAATAAATGTTTATTTAAAACGTGTCTTCTAAACTGATACCATTAACGTTTTATTTTTAATAAATATCCGCTATCTAATGATGATTTACCAGAATAGCTAAAAATACATGTAAATTCAATAATAAATTAACTTATATTTTTATTTCATGTTGTGTAATTAAACAAATGTATTATGAAAGGAATGTAACTCATACAAGCAGATATCAACTAAGTATTTGGTCTGTAACCAAATTGGTGTCATAGTCACACGGATAGCGTGTCTCGTTTAGAGAATTCGCAAGTCCACTCGCGCGCTGACAAAAGATCATTCGTTTCGCTCAAGTTTCGCCGCGTGTCCCATTTTTAATTTAGACTACTACCTCGAATTGCTGACCACCGCTGACTACGCTGATCCGCCAACGTCTACCAATAGACCGGCGTCATATCCAGTATTATCTCCGTAGCTCCGCGGAGTTGCGGCGGCTCAGTCGTGTGATAAACGCGAAGGCACCTGGATTGATTGTAGCGGCAGATGTTTTCCGCGCATACGTAGACATCGCGCTGCTACCGGTGAATCGTGCATCGCCCGCGAACAATGTGGATCCCGTGAAACGGAACAGCGGCCAACTGTTCAATTCAAGCTAGCTAAATCAGTGTTGTAAAACCTGCGGTGTCGAGATTAACCGTCCCGTTTTTGTTTCGTTTGGAATCCCTGCCGCTGGAAGACAGAACTTTAGACAGAGTGAGAGAAACGTCTATAAAGTAAGTACTTAGGA